GAACAGGAGTAGATTACGGTGGAAATGCGAGCAAAGCTGCTGTCATAAGCTAGTATTTCATAATATTTCTCAAGTCATTTCATATTATTTCTATGATTAATGGCGATATAATTAAGTCTACGTGTCAGTCTTATTGTTTAGACAAATTAATTATATGTATGCTCGCACGCTGTTGTAACCGTTGTCTCTTTTGAGGCTCCCAGTTCGACGCCTGGGTTGTGCAATTTCTTTTTTATAACTTTCCGTTTCTTAGACAGGTTGGTTGCAATCATTAGTTTAGTTTATATAGAACATAATAATATCATTATAACATCACGCCTTTTATCCCAGAAAGGTTAGGCAGAAGTGTAGAGGTACATTAGCACTTAATGCCACTGTACAATGCAACCATGAGAAATTGTCGGTCCTTCGGGGCCTTCGGAGGATGAGGGGCCTTAGGCACGGGTGCCGATTGCCCTTATAGTAAAGACGATACCGAGTTTGAGATCACAAAATAATAGGTTTGTAGTTTGTACCATGACTTAGATATTAAAGTGACGTTTGAGTAAGCATCTCGTATGAATTACACAAAACTTAGACAAAAAAGGTCTCAACTATATGATCAAAACTGGGACTTATTTACACAAAAAACTTAGTATATACAGCTACAGATCAAGCTATGGACAACCAGTATAAACTGACATTTGAATGTGCTGAAGATCATACAAGCGGAGACCATAATAAAGTGGTTATGTATAGCTCGATTCGCGACTATTTGTACTTAAGTAAAGTACCTACTGTTTTTGCTTAAATCAATCATTATAATTACTTTGAAATGAATTTTCAGTTTTGTCATCGTTAATATTAACTGTCTATGAAAGATGTCATTACACATTGCTTTGAATAGGGTAGATGACTAATTTTTATTATAATGTCCGTCTGGTAGATTATTTTAAAACATTAGACACGTATTTTTTATTTTCTTACAGAAAAGAATACCGAATAACCATAAAAAATACCTTTGCCGATCAAGTACTCTTACAACCAACTAGAATGTCATAATTATTAAATGAGAAAACAGGTAGCCTAGACAAGTAAGTATTTACTATAAGTACTACGATCTGAGCTAAAGTAGTCTTGTATTTATTTCGACCTAGGTTCACTAGTAAATCACGCTCTCCCATGTAGAGGGTGTTCATTTTAATGTGTACCTATAACATTTTTCTACCATCTTTACAATTTGTCATTTAAGGATATTTTCAACGTTTTTTTTTATTTTATAGTCAAACTGTAATCTTATACCGCCTGGACTTCTAATTCTAATTACACACATAATAACATAACATCACGCCTTTTATCCCCGAAGGGGCAGGTAGAGGTGTACACAGAAGTAACACCCACTTTTCACTATTTATGTTATGAGTCCCATGTAATAGGGGTGAGCCTATTGCCGCAGACTCCGTGCTACTACTGAGATTTTTTTTAAAAACGGCAGTCGCACTTTTTTTTTTTTTTAAGTGGGGAAAATCATCGAATTACTGCTCCCGCCTGGGTGAGGCGGGAGGGAGTGTCAGACTCTTACTGACTAAAAACCACCCGTTCCTTCTCCTGCATGTCGAGCCGGAGCCCCGGTTACCCGTTAGGTTCTCCGCGACACGGCAGTCGCACTTGCGACCACTCGGCCAATGAGGCAGTCGCAATTATTATAATTATTAATATAATTTTAAAATCGAGATCCCGCATTGAGCAAGCATGGTGATTAATGCTCAATTCTTTTCCGTGTGAGAAGAGGCCTTTGGTCAGCAGTGGCTAGGTACTAATAGGCTGTTGAGGTGATGATGTGATGTGATCAAAAGGCGCAGTCCAATTACTGCTATATCGCTTCCAACCGGCCTTTCTGAAAGTTATTGGGGGGAAGGCCTGTGGCCTGTGTGAGGCAGTGGACATCTTGTGGCTGATATGATGATGATGGTGATGATGATACTGTTTAGTCCCGCAGTCGGCTCTTCCGACACCCCCATAAGAGTAGGGGGGGACCATTCTACTATGCTGGCCCATACCCCATACAAAAACAGAAATTCGCAACATCAAACAGCCTGTACATCAAAAACTAGATCGAAGTGCTCGACAAAAGGTTACGTAAAAACCGGTTTAAGATTTAACAGTGTAGAATTACGTACATTTGAGACTCAATATTGTATTTCATTTTACTTTGGATTCAATTCTGTAAAGCTGATCATGTTTAGCCTATTTGCGTAAATGATCGAGGATTATTTTATGTTATAACTTTCGTGAGACATACTTAATTAGTTTGTGGTGCTTAGCGCCGTATATGTAGGATATTTGTGTGAGGAGTGAAATGATCTGCACTCGTTTAAGTTCTCTTAACTCGTCGAGTACCGGTTTTGTAGACACAATTATAGAACAATAGGTTGCGGTCACCGGAGACCGCTTGGTGTTTGACAGTTTAAATCTTAAGTTAG